CTTCCCTATGACCCAGCAATCCCACTCCTAGGTATCTACCCAAAAGACACAAAAACACTGATTGAAAAAGATACCATGTTCACTTTTTTTTTTTAATGTAAACGTTACTTAGCATTTATATTACCTAGATTTACTTTGACTTAAGAGGGTGGTCCCCTTCTTACTGGTTCATCAGCACCATTTATAAAGGATGCTTCCTTTCTCCCTTATCCTGATGATGCCTGCTTTGTCACCAAATAGATTCCTGCACAAGCAATTGGATCTAATTCTATGTTTCTCTTGGTCCAGAGACCAAGAGAATATTTACTCTATATGAGTAAATATTTCATTGCTTGCCTTTTAAGTACTAATAAAGTCTGTTAGAATATTTTCTTTCTATCCAAACAATTGACTGGACTTTGTCTGAAATTATATTACATACATAACTTGACTTTGAGGTAATTGACACACTCCTAATATTCAGCAGCTCTTCTAGATCACAGGTGACTATCATTTATTCCAGCCTTCCTTTTAATTTTTTACAGTAGGGCTAATATAGCCTTCACTGGCATTGCTCATTTTATGGTGTTGAGTGATTGTGGGCTGGTGGTCTCTGTGGGTATCGGAATTTTGAGGGAGACAGAACTCTAAACTTCCTTCCCTGCACTTCCCAGACTTAAGAGCCTGTCCCCCTTTGCATCTTTTCACATTTGATCTTGTAGACAGGCTTTTTTCTTCTTCTGGCTAAAAAGAATTTGGTGGAGGAGTTGCGTGTTTAAGTTGCTTACTTGATTCTTGCCCATCGTTTGTTATATGTTGTGAAGCTTGGCCTGGTAAAATGTTGTTCTGTTGTGCTGTGATATAGTATCCCTTTTAGAAGAGAAAATTTGCAACAAATACCTATTTTTTATTTGGCCTGAGTAGGGGTTGCAGTGCTGGGGAGGGGCAGGGGACCAGTTTCCTAGAAGCCAGCAGGGTCTGGTCTTCACCCTTTGTCGGCCCCTGGTGGGATCAATGAACTAGAACAAGACTTTTGACTTTCGGAGCTTATTTGTCTAAGGCTGGGGAGGCTAGCGGTGAAGGTGAATGCGTTTCATAGGGCCAATTATGTTGAAGTGCTTCGTGTGTGAATGAGGCAGTCGCCTTACAATCTGCAGTAGTTTAAAATTAGGAGTGAAGCCACATGAGTGAAAGCACCTGAACTTGGGGTGCCTGTTTCATTAATTTACCTGCACCAGGCGTCACAAGCCTGACTGAGTCACAGGTTTTCCTCTTCCTGGTGCCTGGTAGCGGGCCACCCCGACTCGTGCTCATGCCCCTTATTCTCCTGTTCCACCCGCTTTTACCCCTGCTAGGCCTTCCTACACTACGTGACTTTTGAAGGGCCCTCTGGGAAACACTGTTGTGATGAGCCTTTTAAAGAGCAACTTGTTCGAGGAAGAGCTCTGCCAGGCGGTGTCTGCAGTGCTGTGATTTGCTGGCAGCGGCACCGGGTGCGAAAAGCCTCTGCTTCCTTACTCAGGCCCCATTGTGAACTTTTATGCAGCATCAAGAAAGCCGAAGGTGCCCTTATGGTGATACGCTTAAAGTGGTTGAAAAAAGAGGTGGCTGGCTCTTCAGCAAGATGGCTTTGAGATGGCTCTTTGCTTTCTTGGGTTCCTGGGTCTGACTCTTGGGTGTCTGGACCAGGCGTTGGCTTTAACAGTTCTCCGTGGATGAAGCAGGTTCTGGTGTCACTGGCGTTTCTTGGGAGGATGTTATCGGTAGGGGAGGTCTCTTTCTAACCACCTGCATTCCGAGGTGCTTTGGGTGCTGGCTAATACACGTTGAATGAGCATATTCTCCACCTGCATCCTTGGAAGTAGAGCAGCAACTTCCTGTTCATATCTCAGGTGCGCAAAGTGAGGCTCTGAGGCCAACACTCAGGGTCATTTCCCCAGACGTCCACGTCCTCCCTGCCAGGATCTGTGACTCTGTCTGTTACACCACAGGGAGCAGCTCAGGTTGTGTGTCGGGTTGCGAAGCAGCTGACCCTGAGAAAGGGAGGTTTTCCTGTAACCTCTGAGAGCTCCTTTAATGTGGACTCGCGAGGTCAAGGCAGTGCCAGCTGATGCCATGTGATGACCTGTCCGTCATGGCTGGCGCTGAAGGTGCAAGGAGTGCGGGGGCCCCTGAAGCAGGAAAATGCAGGTGGCGGTGGGTTTCTCTCCTGGAGTGTCCAGAAGGATCCTGCCCTACTAGCCTGATTTTAGCACAGTGGGGACCATGTTGGGATTGTGTCCTACAGAACTGTAAGGTAAATTTGTATTTTAAGTTACTAAATTTGGTGATTTTACCTTAGAATCAGCTGGTGACTGTGACCCGTGGCGGGTCTGAGCAGAGGAGGCTCGGCTGCCGCTGGTGGTCCAGAACGGCCGCTCCCCTCCTGGCTGGCGCAGAACACCTTCCCTCATCCTTTCCCGCCTTCCTGACCTTT